AACTTAGCATTTATAACTACGCGGCTATACCCAACTCCCCACAGTCTTTACCCTCATTAATAAATACTTTAATGTCGATTAAGAATCAAGCAGTTTATTTAACTTCTCTCAAGACTCCAGTCTACCCTCATAATAATACTTCTAATGCATTAAGAACAAGTAAAGAAAAAAATTCTTATGAAATCTAACGCATATGAAGTTCCTTTGAAAAGTCCCCAAACACATATGATATATTATCCCTCCATAATATACGTTATGCATTGAAGCAAGCATAAAAAAAAAATTCTTGTTATTATATAAAGAAAAGGGGGTTTCTAATCCGCCAAGTCTTGTGGGAGCTTCCTAATATTCCAATATTAATTCAATTTTTGCATTTAAAAACAATAACCTTACATTCCATTAATTGCTGCTCAACCCCACAGCCTTTTTGATTCTCTCATAGTTATTACAGCATCATTTTCAACTTCTCCCATACACTATTGCGTGAGTAATCGGGATTGTTAAATTATTCTTTATAAAAAAAATTTAAAATACCATTTGTACTTAAAAAATAATAACTTTGTTATTAAAAAATATCTAAAATAAATATAAATAAACTATATCTATATATTATAATAAGAAAAATAGGGTTTCTCAATGAGAAATCTCCTAAGAGTTTCCATACTCCTCATTCTAAACGTTATGATTTTTCAATTATAAAATAGAGTGAAAAAAACCTTATTGGCAAATTTATTTATTAATTATTTTAGAAAATAATAATTAATTCATTAATTTCCATGGACATCATAATGCGGAAGATAACAAAAACTATTTTCCATAATCTCGCCATCAATAATAACTCTCACTTAATTCCAAAAACTATAATATATATAAAACTTGTCATCCTTTTCTCTTTCCCAAAAAGCTCAGATAATATTTTCATAAAAGTTGTGGATATTTATCTATTATCTTATATATATATATTAACCTAACAAAAAAAAAAACAAAAAAACTGAAGACGAAAATATACAAATTAGCCCGAAAACATACTAAATTTCGTTTTTCACGTTATTACAGTTAAAATTTTTATTTTGGGATCCAATTATCCAAAAGCACGTATTTTTCTTTTCTTTTCCTTTTTTATTTTTTTTTTTTAATATGTATGATATTACAAGAACAGGACCTCAATTTTTTTTTTTCATAATCTGACTTAAAGATGATGTAGTCATAAAGTATCATTTTTATACATAATATAAGAAGAGAATTAATTAAATATACATTTCAACCAATCCATACTCAAACTTTGACTATTTCAATATGTTATTTTACCAAAATTCCAATTACAGAGAAATGTTCAAACCTTAATATTTTTTTTATCAAATATATAATTTGATAAAATTAAAATAGACGAAACGGTTGAAACTTTTTTTTTTCCCATCAAAATTGGTGAAAAGAAAAAAAAATTTGAATAAGAATGAAAGTTTCTTTTAAAAAAATTGATAAAAATTAATGAAAAGTTTGGGAGTAATTTCTGTCAAATCAAAATTTTATTCAAATTTAAAATCTAAAAAAAAATTAAAAGAAAATGATGAAAGTTTGAAAATATTTTGAAACCTTCTTATTCATAAAGACTAGAAATCTGTGTATGCATTATATTTGTATTGTATTGTATTTTTAGTTATGAAATTGAAATCAAAAGAAATGTAACTTAAATTATTGGATTAATAATAGAAATATCATATTAATTATTGTTAAATATCACTTTACTTCACATTTAATAATAAAATTGTATATTTATCTTAATTATAACTTTTAAATTTATATAGTTTCATAACAAGAAGAGATATGTCATAACTCATTTAATCTATATTAATCAGGTTTAACTTTTTTTTAATACAAATTATCAAAAATTGCACTAAATAGATATATATATATATATATATATTAATTGTTTTAAACTAATAATTTAAGAAGTTATAAACATAAAAGTTAACTTATAAATTTCGTGGATACCACAAGGTAAAATATTAAATTACTTCAAAATAATTATAATGATTTTTTTTTTAATTTATAAAGTCTCGTACATAGCACGAGTTGCCACTAGTTTATATATAGGGTCCAGCTTGTCTTAAGTTGAGATCAAAACTGGACCCGTCCAGTTCGGCCCATGGGGCCCATTGTTTGGGCCCATTTTGATAATCTGAACCGTTTAATGTGTAGAACTCGTCGAGTACTATATGCCTGTAAAAAATTACATTGATCGGATATCAATAAGCTATGTGATCAAATCAGTTTTGTATTAAAAAAAATGGACGGTGAAAAAATTAACGGTTGATAAAAAACTGTTTTGTTCACATAGCTATCGATATCCGATCAACGTGATTTTTTATAGACATATAGTACTCGATGAGTTCTACACATTGAACAGTTCGAATTATCAAAACAAAACCCGTGGTGGGCCCTCACAGGCCCAACAGCACGATCCAGTCCGATCATGGACTGGACCAAAGCCACTGCCTTATATATAATACCAAAAGTAGTTGAGAAGATGCACAAAGTTGATACACGTTTGGTCTTCCCCATGATGCCAACCAAAAGTTTCCATCATGCAATGCCATTCCATTACTCCATGCAATCTGCCACAAATCTGTTTACATCCTTCAAGTGTAGCCCAC